ACAGAAAACACTATAAAGGAGGACATTCAAAATAAGTCCAAAACATACGTGAGTAAATTATTTTTCTCTTACCATTACCCTCATAAATATATAATATTTGTTGAAATATGTTTTATTCTTATGTTAAGGAACCATATTAGTTAGCAGTTAAATTTTAAATGGGCTCTACTATAAATTCAATAGATTAAAATATTTTTGAATTAAGAGAACACTAAGTGGCAAGTGATCTATTTATCCACTGAGGGTTAAGATAAAAAGTAAGAATAAAATTATAGAGTAATATGGCCCAATTTATTGGAGAAACTGCACATGAAAAAGAGGAACATCTAGTTTAAGTCTGGGAAAATATTAATACTTTGAACAATAAAAATAGAATTTGAATTCTGTAAAGGACATCATCATGGGAGGGATTGTTAGAGATAAATGAGGCTAATTACTTCATTTTTCAGAGAGGAAATTTATGGACAACTAAGATCATGAGCCCAAGAAGTGGCAATGCTAGAAAATACATTAAAATCTCTTTCCTCCTACCTGGCTTTTTTTTTTTTTTGAGAGAGAGAGAGAGAGATTTTTGCAATTGGGTGCATGTGCTCACCAGACAGAGACAGAGAGAGAGAACAAGAAATCACCCCCGCAGTGGGGATGGCCACACCACAATCCCTTCTTCTCCATTCTCCTCTCAGGATCTTGGGCATGCATGCACATGCACCCAGCCTGAGTTTTAAGCCACCAGGTCTGAGACTCGAACTGCAGTTGACTACATAGGAATCCAGCAATGTAACCATTACTCCATCTGCTGATCCTCCTCTCCTACCTGTTCTTTTAATGTCCCAAAATTGAAAATGCATTATCACTCCTCACATTGAGAGAATTATAGGTATATTGCTTCCAAAAAAAAAAAAAAAAAGATGAGCCACATATTTGTTATTTTCCAGAGTTGGCTTATGTATATAAGATTCCTGAACATATTCTTTTTTTTTGTTTGTTTACTCTGCTACTTTGGTTATCACTCCTCACATTGAGAGAATTACAGGTATATTGCTTCCAAAAAAAAAAAAAGATGAGCCACACATTTGTTATTTTCCAGAGTTGGCATATATACATATACATATATATATATAAGATTCCTGAGCATATTCATTTTTTTGTTTACTCTGCTACTTTGACTTATTTTATAATTCTAGGTTTCCATTTATTTGCTTTTCATTTAAAATTCAGCTAATATGCGACAATGATTACAATTTAACTGTCCTGGATTTGCCTTACAAGTTCGGATATGCTTTCAAACTTCAGAGTTGGAAAAGCTGAGCTAAATATTCCATTTGTCCTGTTGCTCTACTTTTCATTCTTGACAGGACATGTAGTGAGATGGTTATAAACTCAGGGTCTGGGGTCAGAAACTTCAGACGTTAAGCCATAGTTTGCTATATACTGGCTATATTACTATGTCCAAACTCCTTAACCTAAATAAACCTAAAGTAAGACTAATTTATTTTTCTTTGTGTTGCATTAATATTAGCATAATGATATTGTCATTTGTTCACTCTTTTATTCTTTAAGATACTTGTTTTAAATATATTATCAAGCTTTAACCTCAGAACCTATCTCTAATTATACAGAGTAGGATAAATGAAGGGACTTTAAAACGTTTGTGGAAAAGAAATAGAATTAAAGTATGAGCTTAGTGGAATGCAAAAATTGTTTTAAATCCATGCATTTATTTATAGTACACATTTCTCATGAACATTATGAAGACTCCTTGTACTTTCCTATATTTAAAAATGAATAAAACATTTTTTAAAAGGAAATGAGCAGAGGCTGAATGGTGGTATGCAGTAAAATGCAAGATGGTATGAAGCTCTTCCACAATGAAAGGTCCCAGGCTCAAGTCTGGAAATCTTGAATATGCCTGGCATGTGCATGTGTCCGTAATCTAGGGTAGGTGGCATTTGGGAGTGGACTGCACCATCAAGACCCTGTTTAGGTGAGCTCTCTCTCTCTCTCTTTCTCACTTTCTCTCTCTGTATGTGTCTCTCATTTATGAAAAAATAAGTAGTTAAAATGAAATTTCTAAAAATTTAGTATTTGCAAAAACTTACATCTGAGGTTAATGTCTGAATTAAGACAAGTAAGGAGGGATTGCCTCAAAATTATAGAAAAATATGTTCAGGTTTTTGACATAGGATGTGTACACTTGCCAGAGAGAAACAAAGAAAAGGAAACTGAGAAATTGCCCCCTCACCCCAAAGTGGGAACAGCCACAACACAATCCCTTCACCAGTATTCTCCTCTTGGGATTTGGGGGACACATGCACATAGACCCAGTGTGATTTCAAGCTGCCAATTCTGGATTTAAAACCATGGGGGGCCATCTGTGAATCCACTGCCTAACCAACACACTAACTGCTGGCCCCTCTGTGGTAGATTTTCAAGCTGCCAGGTCTAGGGCTTGAGAGGTTGGCTAGAGAATCTAGTACCTTGACTGCTACACCCTCTGCAGGATCCCAGAATTATTAGATTTTTTCTGGTTCAAGACCCTGTTTAGGTGAGCTCTCTCTCTCTTTCTCACTTTCTCTGTGTCTCTTATGAAAAAAATGTAGTTAAAATGAAACTTGTAAAAATTAAGTATTTGCAAAAACTTACATCTGAGGTTAATATCTGAATTAAGACAAGTAAGGAGGGATTGCCTCAAAATTATAGAAAAAAAATCTTCAGGTTTTTGACATAGGATGTGTACACTTGCCAGAGAGAAACAGAGAAAAGGAAACTGAGAAATTGCCCCCTCACCCCAGAGTGGGAACAGCCACAACACAAGCCCTTCACCAGTATTCTCCTCTTGGGATTTGGGGCACACATGCACATAGACCCAGTGTGATTTCAAGCTGCCAATTCTGGATTTAAAACCATGGGGGGCCATCTGTGAATCCACTGCCTTAACCAACACACTACCTGCTGGCCCCTCTGTGGTAGATTTTCAAGCTGCCAGGTCTAGGGCTTGAGAGGTTGGCTATTGGGAATCTAGTACCTTGACCACTACATCCCCTGCTGGATCCCAGAACTATTGGATTTTTTCTGGTTAAATTGAAAGTTATTGGGCCAACAAGTGGCATGGAGGTTAAGGTGACTTTATCACATGGCAGACTGCATGGTGGATATCAGGACTCAAAGGCTTGGGAGTCACACCAAGCACAGGTGCACAGGTGCTCAAAATCTTGAGAGAAGAATGGAAGAGAGGAGGCTGTGGCATGGTCATCCTCTCTAGGGAGTGATTTCTCACTTTCCCTCTTAATCTCTCTCTCCCTGTCTCTCTGGCAAACATATATGCCCTAGAGCAAACTAAAAGAAATAAATGATTTTTTAAGCACTAATATTGTTGCAGTTAAACATTAGTAGTCTTATGTCTATGAAGAAGTTAAATCAATAATTAAAATTTTTAGATGGAAAAATTAATCATCAGCTATAACTTTCTAAACCAAGACAACTGGAAATACAAAGAATTTTTTTTGGTAAACTCATAATAAATGAGGACATATTGATGCACTGACTTTGTGGGATTGGGCAAAAGAATAATATGGTACAAACCTAAAAAAAATACTGACTTTGTGGGATTGGGCAAAAGAATAATGTGGTACAAACCTAGAAAAAAAAAATATATATATATCCCCTCCAATCACAAAGTTAAAAAGGAATTTGGTTTCTTGGGGCCAGTCAGAAGTGAAGATGCTAAATGTTAAATTCAAAAACACTTTCTTTCTTGGAAATTAAGTTGAAATTAAGTTATTCTGACTTAAAATATTAAAAATTTTAAAATCCATGTTTATAAAAACATCACATCTTTCTTTTGATCTTCACTTTTCTTAATTTTTTTAAGAAATATTTTTGCTGTAGGGCATGTGTGCTCACTGGAGAGACAGAGAGAGACAGAGAGACAGAAAGTGAGAAGTCACCCCTCCAGGGGGAATGACCACACTGCAATTTCTTCTCCTCCATTCTCCTCTCCAGATCTTGGGCACACATGCACACACGCCCGGTGTGAGTTTATGCCACTGTGTCCAGGACACAAACTGTGATTGACTCCATAGGAGTCCAGCAATATAGCCATTATGCCAACTGCTGGACCCCAGGAAAAGAATTCATAAAGAAAAAAATAAAAAGGAATTTGACTTGCTAAATATAATGTTGGGCATTAGGGGCAAAGTTTCAGTATAACATTCTATCTGCATTAATGATTTTAGTCTCAAGTTTATTTAGCGGTTTATTAAGCTTGTTATTTTCATTGTATTTGCCTTAGGAAAAACATCTTTGTGTTTTAAAGTATGCATACATAACATTTACTAAATTACTGTGAAAAATGGTAAACAAGAAAGCAATGAACATAAAAGTTTTCAAAATACTTACACCAATTTCTTGAAGAAAAAGCTTTCCATCTTAAAATATTTCCC